TGCTTCTGTTTCTTCTCAAGAGGCCTTGTAGACTATTAAAACCATCCAATGCTGCCGGTCGGTCAAGTTTATCATAAATAAGAAGTTATAAATTGCTATTCTTTTATGAGGTGAAAAGTGTTCTTTGCTTTGCTTTTGTTTTCTCTAATATCAGGGCAAATTCAAACTTTTTTTAAAAGAAGGTTTTTTTCCAATATATATATAAATATTGTCAATGAAGTATAGAAAGAATCCCTGTTAGAGCTGAAAAGGAAGACATTTTGGCTGTTGGTTTTTTAAAAATTCTTATTATTATCATCTCTGAAGGCCAAGCAAGGGGTTCAGTAGAGACCTGGAGCTGAACAATGTGACAGAAAAAGGTAGCATTCTGGCTGGATAAGTCATAAGTGGCAGCGGGAGATTAGGAGCAACGATGTAAATTTGTACACCCATTACAATCAGTTTCTCGAACAGGATATTTACTTAGCTGGAGGTATACCTCCTGTCTGTCTAAAGATCATAGATGTAATTATTAAGGGCTTTGTTTAGCCCAAGTTGTAAGGCAGAGGGACTTGCTAATATTAAACGGTATGATAGAGAGAGATCGGCCCAGGGAATATACCCACTTTACAAAGCATGGAGGCAGTGTGATAGATTATATTGCGATCTTACAATTTGCATATGAGTTTGTCATTAGGAGCCTCAGATTCTCCTTGGTCCATCTAGACAACATTTCTTGCTCTGTCAGGGAGCAGCTCTTCAGCATTTCCATCAAGCGTCAGTCCCAGCACAATCTGGGACTGAACCTACTTCCTGCAATGCAAAACAGTAGCTCTGTCATTGAGCCCTTCCCCTAAGAATAAAATAAGACTCTAGTCTTCATGGATTTGAATATGGGATCTAATTAAATGTGGACATAGGAATCTGCCTTCTGTCAAGTCTCGCCGTTGGTCCATCTTTCTTAGAATTGTCTACGGTGGCTGGTAGCAGGTCACCGTTTCAGACAGGGAGCCTGTCCCAGGAGATGTGATCACCTCAGACCTTCTACATGCAGTGCAAATGTTCTACCATCTGATCTACAGCCCTCCCCTTACAGACCTTTGGCTTGTCACCTGCCATTCACCTTCCCATACATTCCTCCCTGGCCACCTGCTTTTCTCACCCACGTCTGAAGGTTTCAGCTAGGGGCGGGGGATGTCTAGGGTGAAGGGAAAGTGGCTGGCAGGAGAAGGGGAAGTAAAGTACCACTTTTCCCTGTGCGCTTCTTCTGTACCTCTTCCATTTTCCAATGATTAAGCAATGTCCCATGAATCAAAGAATCAGGTCTGTAAATGAAAATCTGTCTTTTCCCTCATCAGCTCCTAAATATTTTTTGCTTTATTTTCATCCAAGTCTCCTTAGCACACCTGCATCCAGTCATTATTAAACATAATGATAGAGGAAAAGTCATTTTCTTTGAACCGCCCTGAGACTTCCAGGTATATAAATTCAATAAATAACAAAATAAATAATACATAAAAGTGAGGTAATATATGTGACGAGTATTTGCTTCTTCAGCAAAATGTATGAGTCCAAACCCAATTTTTTGACTTCTAGTTCCTTGATTTGGCTAAATTCCCCAAGGCTCAGGGTGAGTGGGTAACACTGTAAATTGGTTAATTTGTGAGTTGAAAAAAACATTTTAATAGTGCAATCCTTGACCTGTTTGCTCAGTAGTCAGTCCCACTGCAGTCCTACCTGTGATCCTCGAAGAATGAACTTGGGATGTTAGGACTGCGTCTTTAATATCACATACCAGAGCATATTGGAAGATTTTCCTGAAGCAGTGACATTGTTGGCACCCATCTGTCTTGGGAGACAATGGAGGAGTGAAGCTGTTGGAAGGTTGCAGAGCCTGCTGTGGCTGTTGAGACTGATACAGGAGAGACATGTTTTGTTGCAGCTGGGGAAGATGAAGGTGTTGGGTTGTGCTGCTGTAGATACACCATGGCTTCTTCTCTCTGCACCCCTCCCAGTGGTCATTCCTCCTCTGGTCACTTCTATGGATGTACAACCTGTCTGTCTCCAGGCACTGTGGTCTTCTGTGAGGGATTCCCACATGGTGGGTTTGAAGTTGCCAGACTCCACGTCATGTTTGCAGGCATCTTTTTAATGCAGAGTTGGTCTGCCAAAGGGCCTGGTGTCTGAATCCAGGTCCTTGTGGAGCAGGCATAGGCAAACTCGGCCCTCCAGATGTTTTGGGACTACAACTCCCATCATCCCTAGCTAACAGGGCCAGTCGCCAGGGATGATGGGAACTGTAGTCTCAAAACATCTGGAGGGCCAAGTTTGCCTATGCCTGTTGTAGAGCATATAAAGCAGTGAAATAGCTGGCATTAATTTTGTTGGCTGGGTGGTTGTGGTTGGTAGAGGGAACCATTCCCAGGGATGAAATTGAATTCCAATGCTGGAATCAACCTAAGAACTGCCTGGGTGGGATCAGAGCATCCCTACGCTGGGGCACTGCAATCAGGATTGCATCCCGGATGCTGAGAGAAGCTATAGTCAATGGGAAATCTGCCAGGTCAATTCCACAGCTCTAGGAAGATGCAATCCTACTTGATTCTGAGACAGACCCTTGATCCATTAAATTCTGACTGTCTGCTCACCAGAGCCCCACTGCAGGCAGATAATCATTCCCAGTTTGGGTACCTAAGATCCTTTTTGAAAAAAATAAATAAACTGGAAATACTGAATCTGAAACCTCATGCATGCAAAGTGGTTGTTCTCTAATGGAACTTTGAGCTCACATGGCTATGCCCTGGCACAAATCTCACAAATACCATTTGGCACCCATTGTCTTCTTGTTTACAAATGTTTTCTTTGCCAAGATAAACCAAGGGGCAGCCATGCGGTTGGGCTTTTGTTTTCCCCTTTGTTAAGTGAGCTGGCTTTTTTAACCTGCAGATTCTGAAGCAGCCAAGTACAATAGATACAATAGTAGTGGTGGAGGAGCGGGCAACAAGCCCATGCAATAAGTTCATCATTTCAACGGAAGAAGCTCTTAGACTGTGCTGTTGATTTAGTGTTAAAGACAAATGTTATTTATATATATATTAAAGGTGCTATTTTTATGTGGGTTTCATGGCATCAGTGCTTTCATTTTTTTTGAAAAATGAAGCAGTATAATCTGTGGAGTGTCTAAATTATTGTGATTGTAGCAAGCAGGCTCTATTCCAGATAATTATGATGCCTGTGTTGTCTCTGAAGGAGAAATCTCAGAAGTATTTTGCTGGCAAATAAATATCTTAGCCAAAATGTTTTAAGGGAGTTTGATTTGCAGCCTTGTCTCTTTCTTGTTGGACTAAATATTGGGGATGGGGGTCATTTTGCTGGTGATGAGTTTTTGTTTCCTGTCCTTTGTAAGTGGTCCCTTTTGCAACACTGCCTCATGGCCCTATTTGACTAAGGCAGTGGCTGCTGTTTTCAGTGGGATTATTAAACCCTTCCCCACCCACGTGCCCACTGCACTTGTGTGCTGTGCTCAATTTCTGGCACAAAAGATTGCAGGCATCTGAAACCCTTTCCTCTTGGAATAATTTCAGGCTATAATGTATATACATGTTATTTTGCATTATTTAATAAAATTAAATATTCAAAAAAACACCATTTATCTTTATGGGTAGGCTACCAGAGGCATGCATACAAAAATGCTTTTCATGCTTTTTTAAAGAAAAAAAATTCACAAATGGATATGTCACTGGGCACAATGGAACATAAGGTTTGAAAAATCAGAAGCCGATATGGATTATTTGTCCATCCTTGCTAATAAAATACCAGCCTTTGTAACTTGCGAAATTAAATATTTCATATATTGTTAAATACACATTTGGTGACACAGACATTCAACTTATCTCTCCACCTAAGTCCCAAGTTTTAATTGCTATGTTTTCAAGGAATGATTTTTATTGCATTTTTTTTATTATGAATGTTTCTATTGTAATGTATTGAGAGGATTATATTATAGAGGTTTATATTCTAATGGTTGTGTAACTGTCCTTTGTCATTGCAAACTTCTTAGAAGCCTATTTTGACATTCAGCATTATATGGTAAGCATATTATTGCATTGCGCTCAGCATGGGGCTGCCCTTGAAAATGATTCGAAAACCTCAATTCTTTCAAAATGCAGTAGCCAGATTATGTTCCACTCTCACATAAACCCTCTTTCGAAATAGCTGTATTGGTTACCATTTCATTTCTGGGCCCATTTGAAGGAGCTCACACCTCCTTCACTACAGACCCCCCCCCTTTCGTGGTAAAATAGGCAGAGGCAAGTCCTGTTAGTTGTTCCACCAACCTCAGAAGCTCTGGAGGTGGCAACCTAGGAAAGGGCATCTTCATCATGCAGCTTTTGACAAATGCTGAAAACACACCTCTTTTCCTGTGTGGTGTAGTGGTTAAGAGCAGTAGACTCGTAATCTGGTGAACCGGGTTCGCTTCCCCGCTCCTCCACCTGCAGCTGCTGGGTGACCTTGGGCTAGTCACACTTCTCTGAAGTCTCTCAGCCTCACTCACCTCACAAAGTGTTTGTTGTGGGGGAGGAAGGGAAAGGAGAATGTTAGCCGCTTTGAGACTCCTTAGGGCAGTGATAAAGCGGGATAGCAAATCCAAACTACTACTACTACTACTACTCTTCTTCTTCTTCTTCTTCTTCTTCTTCTTCTTCTTCTTCTTCTTCCCTGGCATTTGCAGCTGAGATGTATAATTTAAGTCCCCCCTTAAAAATACGTGCTTCTGTGATTCAAAGTCATTGCAAACTGTTTTTAACATTTTGAGTTACAGATAGATAGCCGTGTTGGTCTGCCATAGTCGAAACAAAAAATTTTTTTTGTTTTAACATTTTGGTTATCACAATCCACCATAGGAACTTAGGGTTAAAGGAACATAGGGTTAAATAACAACAACAGCAACAAAAAAGGATGATGTCATATCCTCCAACATTTCTCTGATGAAAATAGGGACGTCCTAAGGAAAAGCGGGACATTCCAGAATCAAATAAAAAACTGGGACGACTTCTGCAAATCCAGGACCGGCCCTGGAAAATAGGAATACTTGGTGGGTCTGTGGTGTAGAGACCACTGGAGGAAGAAGGCAGCCATCTTGCATCACCGGCATTCCCAGTGATATCAATGCCTTTTGAATTGGGTGGAAGCAACTGCAAAGCGTCAGACTGAAAAGAAAAACAGGTTGTAACAGGTGAGGACTGACAGATGGTGAAGGTAATCAATAGCACAGAACTGTAGTTTCAGTTTACATTGAAATGTAAGTTGACTTTGATTAAGTAAAGAAAACAGTGTGGGCTGGGCTGTGTACTTTCTGTCAGGAGCTGCACAAAAGATGAGGAAGTTTTTGCTCTCCAGAGACACAAGTGTTTACCTACCAGATGTAGCTGAGCAACCTGAAAGCTCTCTGTATTTACAAGGATCAGGAATTCAGGTGGACTGAGAGCCAGGCTGAGGGAAGTCTCAAAAGCAGCTGACAGTGGACCATGACCCCCTTCCTCCTGTTTCACCAAGAAGGAGGATGAAACTAGCCGGCAACTTCCCTCTGCCCCTACTCTATGCTGACCAGCAATGGAAATGCCAACAGAACACGATCCCCAGTACAAAGGTGGGAAAAAGCTCAAACTGGAAGGCAAAGAGTTGTTGTCAGTGCCTCGCCAGATCTTTGCACTGCAAGGATTGCGAGTCCTGGAGATGACTCCGGAACGAGAGAGCTGCCTGAGGTACAGGATGGATCTTGTCCCTCGTGAGATTGGCCACTTGCAAAACCTGGCCTTCCTCTACCTGGACTCCAACAACCTGAAAGAGGTCCCTGCTGAGATAGGTTCCTTAGGCAAGCTGGAGAGACTCACCCTCAGCAACAACAGCATAGCCTCTCTGCCTGAGGAAATAGGAGGCCTCCAGAAACTTCATAGTCTCCATTTGGCAAACAACAGCCTGGCAGAGCTCCCTGCACCTGTTTGTCAGCTGAGGAACCTGGTCTTCTTAGATGCTACCGATAACCACATCAGCACGATCCCTGACGCCATTCAGCAGCTGCAGAAACTGGAAACATTGCTGCTGCTTTTCAATTCTCTCAGGCATCTGCCAATGGGAGTCTGTTCCTTAAAGGCCTTGAAGACGCTCTGGCTAGGACAGAACAACCTCAAGGCTCTCCCATCAAACTTTGGTCAGCTGGTAAACTTGGACTGGGGTTCAAATTACTGTTCCTGCAGCTTTGAAGGGAATCCATTGGTGCAACCACCTCCTGAAGTGTGCAGTGGAGGACCTGTTGTGATCAGGGAGTATTTTGCCTCTTTAAGGGGATAGAAATCTATGTGTAGGGTAAGTAGAGCTGAGAGAGAGAAGTTAAAATTTACAGGGAAGCATATCTGATTTGCACTTCCTCTAACAACACTTGGCAGCCATCATTCGGAATTCACACTTCTCCAGATAATGCATATGAGATATATATATATATATATATATTATGGATTTGAGTATGCATAGAAATGCACACATTCATGAAAATGACATCCAAAAATGCATTATACGAGGAAATGCATTATATTGGGTGAAATTGCTTTGCAAAAAAAATGTGCATATTGGGGAAAATTGCATACAAATGTGTACTTTAGAAGAAATGAATATTAAAATGCTGGTGTGTTTTCATGTTGAAGTTCCTAAATCCACCTTTTGATGATCTCATCCTGTGGAGGGCAGGATCTATGCTAGGCAATCAGGCTCTGATAACACCAGGATCCTATCTCTGCTGGATAGATGTTTCTCAATTTCACGTGGTTCATTGCAATGTGTCCTATGCATTGGCTCTGAATTTGCATTGCATATGTTCTAATTATGGATGTATTTTTTTAATATTTTAATTACATTGTTTTATTGTGTGTTTTAATTATGGATGTTTATATCTTGAGGCTTGTATAATTGGTTTTTATTGTTGCAAACGACCTAAGGAGCAACCCCTTAGCAAGATCCACCAGGAGGAGCCGGTTAGGATCCAGATGATCTCTTGCTGAGCTGAGAGGTCCATGGTGCAGCTGGGCTATGCTGGCTTAAATCCTGCATCCTTGCAGCCATACAGCATGCAGCTGGCTGAGCCAAACCTGGCTGATCTGAAACTGGTGTAAGCCCTGAGAAGAGGGTATTCTGGTAGGGTTGCCATGTGGCCTCTTTTTCCAGGACACACCCTCTTTTTCAGGGGCAAAATTTCTGTTCGGGTGGATTTTTAAAATTTGCCAAAATGTCTCTGGCTATACATTCTGTATGAAGACATAGACATAACTGCTGGCTGAAGACTTGCTTTCCTCTTATCTTATCTTCTCTTGCCTCCCTCAGCAACATATCACAGCCTCTACAGCCTACATATAGTAGGGGTATTTAAAATGAGAGTTGTCATAGCGTCCTCTTTTTTGCTCTTCAAAATATGGCGACCCAATTCTGAATACATAGGACTTGGGTTGGGGAGCAGGACTTAGGCTGAGCATGAGACTTGGCACCCCAGTGTAAACTAAGCCAGCAAAATGGATGGTGTAACTCTAGTACTATTTTAATGGGTTGTTTTCCTTTTGCCAGGCTTCCCTTTGCCTCCATCAGCAGTAGCGCAACTTCTCTGGTGCAACTTTACACCAGATTGATTTACTCTGGCTTCTTGTGAAAAGGATTGCTCTCTTAGCAGTAAGCCGTGCAATTTTTTTTTTTTATGTAGATTATAATTCTGGATACCTATATCCTAACGCTTCTTGTAATTGGTTTTACACTTAGAATTCTGTTTCAGCATTAAGTGGCATTTAAGTTAAAATGTTGTTGTTGATGGTGATGATGATGAAGAGGAAGATGTAATTGTTTATTACACATTGTAAGTATAAATGTTTCTATTTTAATGCTTGTTTAATTGATTTTCATTCTTGTAAAAAGCATAGAAATCAATTTTACCATTAAGCGGTGTGTGTGTGTATTATAAATATATAAATATATATAATATTAAATAACAACAACAACAACAACTGTGTAATACTGCCATGTTTGGGGGAAGAAGATCTGCAGAGGGTGAAAGAGACTTTCTAACTTCAACATGCTTAACCCTTACTATTAGGAAGCAGGAGGCAAGTAGCCTGTGTCTGAATCTGTGGGGCAGAACGAGGTTGCAGCATCTCTATTTAGGTCACCCACGTAGGCAATGTCAGCAACTGTCCTCTGTCCCAGCAGGTTACGGCTCATGAATTTTAAAACCAAGTTTTGATCCAGCATGCTGAGCAGTGCCCAGGCAGTTAGGTCTGCCTGCTATTTTAATTCCCCACCATGATCGAGACGGATGCTATACGGGGCACATTGTAAGCAGTTTAAATGTTGGCTGGGCACAGCCATTCCATTCTCTTTTCCCCCCATTTTTTTATTAGTTTTCCAAATTTATAACAAACATATCCACAAACATAAAAGGAAAACATCAACAAACAAACAAACAAACAAACAAACAAACAAACAGACAGACAGACAGACAGACAAACAGACAGACATATATCCTAACTATCATATTTCCACTTTTATTATCATTGTTGGGTGACTTCCTCGAATCCCCCTGGCTGAGTTTCCCATATAAATCATTATAGCAGTTTTCCAAAACTATTTTCACATAAAATTTACTTGGTCCATTAACATCTTTCTTTCTTTTCATTTTGACTTTTATCCATAGTATTCTACAACATCACATATTTAAATCCTAGGCCAATCTGATACTCACAAGTAATTCTATTTAAGTTATCTTAACATATTTAACTAAATAGTCTTTGAATTCCTTCCATTCCTCTTGGTACTCCTCCTCCTTCTGGTCGTGGACTCTTCCAGTCAGGTCAGCTAGCTCCAAAATATCCATCATCTTCATCTGCCATTCCTCTACTGTTGGACAGCCATTCCATTCTCTTTGCACCGCTGGTGTTGCCTGCTGCCATGTAAGCTCAGAGGGGACCACCAGTGGAGAATGGGGAGAGGGTGGAATGAGACCTTTTTGTCCACAGTCAGGAGCTAGCATTGCTTTGTACTGAAGTAGAACTCTCTGTGCCGTCAAGGACACTGATAAAGTTGGCTTCCCGGTCGCCTAAAGTGTCCTACTTTCACTCAAGGAAATTGTCAGTAGAAACCCCCTGTAGGCCTTCCCTGTAGAGCATTGGGAAGAGTAGCAGATAGGAGGCACAGGATGGAGCGTGTGACAAATGTCCGGGATGCGAATTGCTTGCACAATTCTGCCCCTCTCCACAGAAACAGCATTTGAGTGTTCAGGCAGAAACCTAAATGTGTCCAATATCTAGATCAGTGCTTCCCAATTGGGGGCTCTGTGGACCCCACACAAGGGTTCCATGACACATATCATTCACATAATAAAGACTACCACAGAGATACCAGCATTTTCAAAAGTAGGGGGTCAGTGGCTTGGAATTTGAGAAACAGGGGATCCGCAGTATTGAGCTAATTGGGAGCCACTGACATAGATAGATACACAGATAAACAGGTATGGATTTGGTGCTGCCAATCCCTGCTTGCATTGCTCCCCTCATAGCTCCTTCGACTCCCCCATCCCAGACTACCAGCCAAACCCTACACCTTGTGGCCAATCCACCCTTCTCACTGTTCACCCCAAAGTCCCCTCTTCTCCACAGTTCATCCCCAACTCCCTCCTCCCCTCACAGCTCATCCTAATCCCAAAAGCTGCCTGTTGCTGATGCCACTGGTGATGGGGAGGGGAATGAAGTCTCCCTCCCCCCACTTCACTCTCATCCCCACACCACCACTGCCAGAAGGAAGCATGAGGTACAGGCCTAGCAGCAATGAAATATTTGGCTGTCCTTCCCAGGCTGCCCATTAAGCATGCTTCTTTCCACTGTTCTCTCTCCCTCCTTCCATCCTGAATGTTTGCAGAGTCCTTTTGCCTCAGGCCTACAAGCCCTGGATGTTGAAAGATGAGAACATAACCATGCCTTATATATCTTAATGGCACCATTACGCAGAGCGAACATTAACTTGAGGTGCTGCCACAACATTAAAATCTAATCTTCTCTCGGTTATCTTGTGCTTGAACTGTAGTGTTTGTTCCCTCTTGTTTATTTCAACTTTTGGTCCACGCTGGTGAAAAGTCTCAACCTGCAGCCCACTGACAATTTGAGGGAGTTGCAGAGAGCTTCCTTTAACTACTCTGGAGCGATTTACGCTGCGGGTTGCCACTTAAAGTGTCAGGCTCCCAAATCACGGAGCAGGGGTTTTAGCTCACTCCTTCGTTTATTTATTCACTCGTTCTTTCTGGCAGGGCTAATGGGCCTTTTAATGGTTATATGACAGAAAAATATCAAGGAACACACAGACCTTCCGTTATTGAGCCACTGCCTATTTCAGGAAGTGGTGGACTTTGGGCTTTAAAATTTCAGTGAGGTCCTATACAATGCCAAAATTTGGCACCTCCACCTCCTGTGGTGCCCTCTTGGCTCGGCAAACCGAGTTGTGCTCCCGAACCGGTTGTGCTCCCCTAAATCCATCTCTGTTACTGGACTCTTAAAGGCATGGGGACATGAAGAGGAATGGGGGCATCTGCTGAAAGGATTCTTCTTGATAAAGCTTTGGACAATATGTGTAGCCAAAGCAAGAAGTTGTGTGATGAGACTACATTGATTATTTGGCATTCATCTCACATCCAGTGAGGTTTGCTTTGATGCCTCAGCCAACATATGGGAAGATGGCCAGGAAGAACCCTTTTCTCTTTGCCCTCCGATGTCCCGAATTTCACTGGTAGTGATTGTTTCTGAGTCCAGCTGTGCCGATTGGCTTACAAACTCACAAAAGCTGCTTCCTGTGTCTAGACAGCTTCATCATTCATGTTGTGATGGTAGACCAATGTATTTTGATCTAAGATATCAAACCAAACAGCTATAGGAGTAAGGAAGGAAAGAAACGTCAGGCTTAGTGTTTCGCTAAAGGTGCTTTCATAGCTGACTCCCTGCAATGCTTTCAGACTGTTGCTATTTTGGAGGGTGGGATTCAGTCGCATGCTGACAAATAAGGTCGCACACCTATAGTGGATCAGAAGGTCTTGCACAGCAAGTCCACTTTCCCCAAGGATCATATGATTTGCAGTAACGAAGCTGGTGAGAAAACACACTGGAAAGTGTGCGACAGCACTCACTTGATGCAATCTCATAAAACGTCCCTGCAAATATATATTGGTGAATGCTCAATTAGCAGGACATCTGGAAATAGGGTTGCCAGACCCTACAGGGCTGACCTGAAGTCTCCAGCTTTGTTTGACCCACTCTAGGTGGCTGGGGGGGGGGAAGGGGAGGGAGGAGGGACTTGAATCTCCAGGTGAGTGAGAGCACACAAAAAACAAGCTTGCAAGCTTCAGCCCAGCAGAAGCCAGCTGCAAATTATTATTGCATTGATTCTCTGGGATGCGTATGACCGCCTCCCCTTCCTCTCCCTCCCAATTAACCTTTGTCTGTGCAAATTATTGCACAACCTCTTTGGGGCCCATGACATCACCAGGGCTGACCCTAGGTCTTAGGTTTGGGCCCCAACATCTCAGAGTCTGGCATGTTACTGACCTTGTAACCCTATCTGGAAATGATCCCAGTAGTAATGCATGGATTCCTACACCTTACACCATTGGCCAAACTTCTTGACTGGCCTCTACTTGATAGGACTGGAACTGACCTGTTTTTGTTGAGTTATTCCCCCTACCCCACCCCAGTGTCCCAGATTTACTCTCTTTTCTCTCAGTTCCCTTCCAAACTTAGCCTCAAAGAGCCATCGTGCCATTTCCGCTGTTCCTTTTCACACAAGAATTATAGATATAAAAAATCTCATCAGCATTTCATTCTTTTCCTTTCCTTTCAGGTTCAACATACATTGCATTCCAGAGCCCCCCCCCCCCCACTGCCACTCAGCTCCTTCCATCATCTCTTTGACACCCTTTTCTTCCTCCCTTGCTATTTTAAAACGTCAATGGCTCCCTTTCCTCCCCTTGAAGTGAGCCAGGAGCAAAACGATGAGACGCTCAGCAACTATCAGCGTGATGAAACGAGAGCGCCTTCTGCACAAATAGCACTTGAGAGTAGGAGCTCTTCAGCTCATCCTGTTCCACAATGGGGGGATGCTTTGAATACCATCAGGAAAGATGAATAACCTAATAGCGTCACATTCACAGAGATGCATGCTATATTACCAGC